AAAAAAAAAAAAAAATCAAGTATATAGCATTTCCCAGCATATCTGATAATGAAAACTTTTTTTTTTTTTTTCTCCCCACAGAGCATCTCAGGAGGCTCAACATTCTTTAGGCAGTACATTGGCTTTAAGAACTGACTTGCTTGCTAGTTACAATGACAGTCCCAGTTTTGGGGACCCAGTTTGTGAGGTCTATGACGTCTGCAGTTTGACTTGGGATAAAAATGTGCAGAAAACATCTTATGATTGTATCCTAACAGAATTCAAGTTTCTATTACTTAAGCCGTAGATGCTTTTACAACTTTTGCCTTACTTACATTAATGACTTTTCCCCCTAAATCTTATTTATTTTATTGTTGAGAATACATACAGCAAAACATAATAAACCAATTCAACAGTTCCTACACGTACAATTTAGTGACGGTGATTACATTCTCCAAGTTGTGAAACCATTCTTTATATAAACTGGCTGCCCCCTCAGTTTTTGAATTTCTCTTGTCTATTTGATGCCATGTAGACAGTTTTTAAAAGAGCGTAATGCTCAAGGGAGACATTCTTCACTAGTTCAGCTAAACTATTGTTTGGTTTTAAGATGTTAGGGGGTATTTTTGGTTTAAGGGTCAAAGATAATAGCTCAAGAGTTTCAGGGTCTCCCCACCCCTTCATGGTTCCAGAAAGTTTGGAGTCCATGAGAATTTCAAATTCTGTTCTGCTTTTTCCCGCTTTTGATCAGGATTCTCCTATGGAATCTTTCATTAAAATGTCCAGTCATGGCAGGCAAGCACCATCCAGTTCTTCTGGTGTCAAAGCAAAGGAACTGTTCATGAAGGCAATTAGCTGCACATTCTTTATTCTATTACTGGCTCTCCTTCTTTCTCCACTGATCCAAATGACTAGATTCCAATTGTTGCCCCTGGGTAGCACTTGTGAGGTTTTAAGACCCCAGATGCTGCACAACAAACTAGGGAATAGAAAAGAAGCACGAAACACATTATTAGGCCAATTAGCTGGGATGTCCCAGAAATCTTGACCCTAAACTTCCAAACTAAGGAACCAAATCTCATGAGGTGTTTGGTTGTCCATAAGCAGCCTCAGCAGCTACTTTTTTGGGTTGTTGTTATAAATATATCTATCCCACAATTTTTCCTAATACAGCTTTTTACAGATGTACAATTTACAGATAGCAATTACAATAATTGGCTGTACAACCCTACCCTTAATTAATGCATTTTTTCCATTACCGTTAACCATCCTTTTCCTCCTTCCTCCTACCCCTGGTAACCACTAGTGAACTTTGATATCTATACATTTGTTTTTTCTTGTCTTTTATATAATTGAGTTCATATAATATTTGTCCTTTTGTGATTGACTTATTTCATTCATCATAATGTCTTTAAGCTGTATCTATATTGTAGCATGTATCAAGACTTTGTTTCGCCTACTGGCTGAATAATATTCTATTGTATGTAGGTACCACATTTTTTTTATTCATTCATCCATTGATATTTAGGTTGTTTTTACCTTTTGGCTATTGTAAATAGTGCTGCAGTAAGATTGATGTACATGTTTCTTTTTGAGTCTGCTTTCAAGTCTTTCAGGTATATATATATACAGGAGTAGAATTGTGGGGTCATATGGTAGTTCTGTTTTTAGTTTTTTTGGGAACCACCACACTGTTTTCCACAGTGGCTGTACTATTTTGCATTCCCACCAGTGATGAGTAAGTATTTCAATTTATACACATCTTCACCAACATTTGTTATTTTCTGTTTTATTATTATTATTATTAATCTTAGCCATCCTGGTGGGAGTGGGATGGTATCTCCTTGTGGTTTAGATTTGCATCTCTCTGATGCTAATGACACTGAACATCTTTTCATGTATTTGGTGGTGATTTCACTGTTATCTTTCCTGAAATGTCTGTTTAAGTCCTTTGCCCATTTCATGATTGTGTTTTTTGTCCTTCTGTTGTTAAGTTGTTGAAATTTTATATATATTTTAGTTATTAGATTCTTATCAGATATATGGTTTCTAAAGATATCCCAGGCAGTAGCTTATCTTTTCACTTTCTTGGAAAAGTCTTTTGATGAACAAGTATTTTGATTTTTATGTGGTCCCATTTATTTATCTAGTCTTTTGCTGTTTGCGCTTTTGTTATTATATTAGATGATCCATTGCCAAAAGCTAGGCCTGACAGCATTGCCCTGTACCTTTTCTTCTAAGGATTTTATGGTTTTAGTTTGCAATTTATATCCTTAATCCATTTTGAATTTGTTTTTGTGTATGGTGTGAGGCGTGTATCCTGTTTTGTTTTTCTGCACATAGAAATACAATTTTCCTATCACCATTTTTGGAGGAGACTCTTCTTTCTCCATTGAGTGGACTTAGTACCCTTGTCCAAAATCAGCTGACCATAGATGCTTGGATTTATTTCTGTACTCAATTCTATTCCATGGTCTATGTGTATGTTGTTATGCCAGTACCAAGCTGTTTTGATTACTGTACCTTGAGTCAGTTCCAACTCATAGTGACCCTATATATAACAGAACAAATGAAGCCCAGTCTTGTGCTATCCTCACAATCATTGCTATGTTTGAGCCTATCTGCAAAAATGACAAGGAGGCCACATGTTCTGACCTCCTCTAACCCCACAAGAGGAAGGCAGAATCACCATCAATAGCACAAGGCCTATTCCTGCAAGACCAGACTTGCTGCCTCCATCCAACACTTTCACCAACTGTTCCTCCCAAAGCACCCACCACCTCTCTCCTGGGTGATAATTCACTGCAGTGGCCACACAGAACTCACAGATTATGGGGTTTATTAGGGAAGCACCACGCTACAATTCAAGTTCAGGAAAAACGCTCAGTCTCTATCCCAGCCCACAGTCTCTCTCTTAACAGTCTCTCACAGTCTCTTTCCCAGCAGTGCATGTCCCTTGGTGTCTCACTCAGCAATGCATGTCTCTTGCGTCTCTTTCCCAGTAGTGTATGTCTCTTTCAGAAGCGTGTGTCTCTTTCAGCAGCACGTCTTCCTCAACCAGCAGTCAGAGAGAGTTCTGCCTCTAGGAGGCCTCCTTTTGAGCATGGCAGAGTGATCAAACCAACCAATCATAACAACAGAATTCTAAGCACCTGAGAGTGAACCTCCCATAACACTGTGTTGTGCCACACCCAACAGAAATAACCCAGGTGGATAACATTTACAATCAGGAGCTCCTCAGTTGCTCATTCCACCATTGAGTTTACAATGACTTATGGGTAGAAAAGCCGTACTAAGTAACTTACTACACTGCACTATCATTGCAGCCACTGTGGCAATCCATCTTGCTGAGGGTCTTTTTCACTGAGCCTTTACATTACCAAGCATGATATTCTTTGGGGACTGATCCCTCCTGATAATGTGTCCAAATAATGTGAGACGAAGTCTCACCATCCCCACTTTTAAGGGAAAATTCTGGCTTTATATCTTCCAAGACAGATTTGTTTGTTCTTCTGACAGTCCATGGTATATTCAATATTCGTTGCCAACACCATAATTCAATACATCAGTTCTTCTTTCTGTCTTCCTTATTCATTTTTCAGCTTTCATAAGCTTATGAGGTAATTGAAAATACCATGGCTTGGGTTGTTGTTGTTGTTGTTGTTGTTATGTGCCGTCGAGTCAACCCCGACTCATAGCGACCCCTCCTTGGGTTTCCGAGGCAGTATCACTACGGAAGTAGGATTGCCCAACCTTCCTTCCGAGGAGTGGCTGGTGGGTTTGAACCGCCAGCCTTCTGGTTAGCAGGCAAGTGTCTTAGCCACTATGCTACCAGAGCTCCTTAGTACTCAAAGTGACATCTTTGCTTCTGAACACATCAAAGAGGTCTTTTACAGCAGATTTGCCCAGTGCCCTATGTCATTTGATTTCTTCACTGTTGCTTCCATGACACTGATTATGGATCCAAGTAAAATGAAATCCTTCACGTCAATCTTTTCCCCATTTATCATGATGCTGCTTATTGTTCCAGTTGTGAGGATTTTTGTTTTCTTTATGTTAAGGTGTAATACATACAGAAGGCTGTACCCTTTGATCTTTATCAGCAGTACTTTAAGTCTTCTCCTCTTTCAGCAAGTAAGGATGTGGCATCTGCATATTGCAGGTTGTTAATGAGTATTCCTCCAATCCTGATGCCATGTTCTTTTTCATATAGTGCAGCTTCTTGGATAATTTGCTTAGCATGCAGATTTAATAACTAATGGTGAAAGGATACAACCCTGACACACGCTGGTGTTTCTTGATATCAAACCACACAGTATCCCCTTGTTCTGTTCAAATAACCTCCTCTAGGTCTATGCTCAGATTGTGTATGAACATAATGAAAGGTTTTGGCATTCTTATTCTTTGCAATGTGATCCACTATTTGTTATGATCCACAAAGTCAAATGCCTTTGCATAGTCAATAAAACACAGGTAAACATCTTTCTGCTATTCTCTGCTTTCAGCCAAGATCCATCTGACATCAGCAATGATATCCCTCATTTCATGTCTTCTTCTGAATCTGCCTTGAGTTTCTTGCTGTTCCCTGTAGATGTACTACTACAATTATTTTTGAATGATCCTGTAGTTGTATCAGACTCAAACTCACTGCCATCAAGTTGGTTTATAATCATAGTGCCCCAGTTGGGTTTTTACATTTCCAATGGAAATCTTTATGGAAGCAGACTGCCTCATGTTTCTTCCATGGAGTGACTGGAGGGTTCAAACTACTGGCCTTTTGGTTAGCAGGCAATGCCTTAACCACTATACTACCAGAGCTCCTTGTAGTTGTATCATATGTTTTAAAATCAGGAAATGTGAGTCCTACTTTGTTCTTCTCTTTCAACATTACTTAATCTATTTGAGGACTCTTGACAATCTATATAAAGTTGAGGATAGATCTTTCCAATTCTGTAAAGAAGGCTGTTGGAATTTAATTGGGAGTTCAATCAATGTGTTGATTCAATGCTGGCTTCTAATCCATGGACATGGAAGATCTTTCCATTTATTTAAGTCTTCTTTAATCTCCTTCAGCATTGCCTTATAATTCTCATTGTATAAGCCATTTATGTCCCTGGTTAGATCTATTTCTAGGTATTTTATTCTCTTAGATGCTATTGTATTGAATTGTTTTCCTAATTTTCCTTTCAGATTTACTGTAGCTGGTGTATAGAAACCCAACTGAATTTGTTTGTTGACTTTATACTTTGCTAATTCCTCTATTAATTTTGCTAAGTTCCTCTATTAGCTCTAGAAATTTTCTTGTGGACTCTGGGATTTTCTCCACATAGGATTGTATCCATGAATAGAGATAATTTTACTTCTTCTTTTCTGTGTGGATACCTTTTTTTTTTCTTGTCTTCTTGGTCTGGCTAGGACTACTAATACAATAATGAATAAAATAGGTGAGAGAGCAGGCACTCTTGCTTGTTCCCATTTTCAAAGGAAAGTTGTCAATCTTTCTCCATTAAGTATAATGTTGGCTGTTGGCTTTTCATATATGCCCTGAATCATTCTGAAGAATTTCCCTTCTATCCCAACCTTCTATAGGATTTTCATCAAGAAACAAGTGTTTTATCAAATGTTTTTTTCTGTATCCATAGAGATTATTTTCCTTTGTTCTATTGATGTGGTATATTGCATTGATTGATTTTCTACTGTTGAACCATCCCTTTGTTCCTGGAATAAATTTCACTTGGTCATGGTATATTACTATCCATGAAAATATGATCTTGGATTCTGTTTTTAGTATTTTGTTGAGGATTTTTGCATCTATATTCATAAGAGATATTGGTCTGTAGTTTTCTTGTGGTGTCTTTGTCTGGTTTTAGTATCAGGGTTATGTTTACTTCTAGAATGAATTAGGGAGTATTCCCTACTGCTCTATGTTTTTGAAGAGTTTAAATGCCTTAATGACTTTTTAAAAAATGCATTTTATTTAAATATAATTTATAGTACACAATAATACAGTGAAATACACAAAAGTAAGGTGACATGGGTCAATGCATTTTTTTTTTTTTTTGCAGTGTTCTCTCCCCTCCCCTTCCACCCCTGGCAGCCAACAAAGAAAACTTCCCTCCTTTCCTTGGTCCACCACAACAATGAACTAATACTATATTTGTCCTTCTGTGACTGATTTATTTCGCTCAGCATAAGGTCCCCCAAGCATCCATGTTATGCGGTTTTGCAGATTCTACATTACTCTTTAGTACTGCATAGCCAGTATGTGTATGGATCATAGTTGGGTCATCCACTCTTCCATTGATGGGAACATAGGTTGTTTCCATCTTTTTGCTATTGTAAATAGTGCTGCTGTGAACAGGAGTGTGCATATATCTGTTCTGTCCTGGCTCTCAACTCTCTAGGATATATACCTAGTAATGGGATTGCTGGGTCAGATGGTATCTCCAATTCCAGCTTTCTAAGGAATTGCCATACTGCTTTATACAGTGATTGTATCACTTCACAGTCCCACCAGCAGTGTATGGGAGTCCCAATCTCTCCACATCCCTGCCAGCATTTTTTATTTTCTGTCTTGTTGAAATTTGCCATTAGTGCTGGGGTGAGATGGTATCTCATTGTTGTTTTGATTTGTAAATGCACTAATGACTTTTAAAAAAGTGATCCAAAGACAGTACAAGGGGCAATAGCAGCCTATGAAATTGGGTTAGGCCATATATGAAAAGTTAATAGTTCAAACTCACCCAGTGGCTTCATAGAAGAAGTGTCTGGCAACCTGTTCCAAAAATATTCCAGTCTAGAAAACCCCATGGGGCAGTTCTACTCAGTCACATGAGAGGTGCTATGAGTCAGAATGGACTTAATGGCACCTAAGAACAACAACATAGGGTTGAGGGTGAAGAGTTCCTCAGTAAAAGTGAATGTCTGTCTGTCTTCTATTTCGATTTAGGTGCTAACCATCTTTTCTGCCTCCAACTACTATGAAGTTGGCAGTAACAGAGGAGCCTATGTCAAATTGGGGCCAGCCTTGACCCCACATATCGTGCAGTATCAAGCTAACAAGGCAACTCACGCACTAACCATGAGGCAAAGGCAAGACTTTACAATGAATGATTTTGAGAAAACCAGAATTACAATGTTTGACTTTTGAAGTGTCATATGTCATTACATTTATCCAAATTCAAAGTAAGAATACAAAATTTAGCTATGTCGATATTAAAGTCTAGAATAGAAATGAGAACAGAGGTCTCCTCTCTTCTATTCTAAAATCTCTACACAGTCATCATTAATGGGAGGAGCACATTTGCTTCCTGCAGAAATTAGTCTCAATGAGTGCTTATTTGCTTTGGTGAAGTCTATAACACCAGGTCACTAATTCCTCCCAGGGTCACCCTTCTGTTTCTCACATTCTTAAAGGGTTTCGTTGCACCCATAAACCATAACCTAAGGTTCTGTGGCTGTTTGGCAGATTTCAGTGTGAATATTTGTTAATAATGCCCTTTTCTTTGTGGGAAGGAAGCAAGTTATATTATTCAAATGGTGTTTGTTGATATGACTCTGGTGGTTGAGAACCAGATACAAATACCAGATACAAAGTGTTATAAAGATTTAGATATATTATTCCACAATGAACCTATGAAATAGATACTATTATTAATTTCAACTTTATAGATGAGCTCATTGGCTGGTCGATGATCAGACAGCTAGTTAAGTGGTAAAGGTAGGCTTTGACCCAGGCAGTCTGACTCCAGAATCCACACCCTTTGCAACTATGTGATACTGTCTCCCACAGAGAAGATGCCTCTGTGTATATAAGCAGCTAACAGATACAGTGTTAGTGCTACTGAACAGCTTCTTTAATTATTTAGTCTGACTAAATTAGGAATGAAAACAAATAGAGTTAACATATATTCAGTAGATAGAGAACACATTAATATTTAGTGTCTACCTCATATGAATTCTGTAAAAGTATTTTAAATCACTCTTGAGTGATTAAATACTGGCTAACCTCATCTCAAAAAGAAGTATTATGTGTAAATTTAAATACACCAAGTAATAGTCAAGTCTACTGTGCAGAAGAATCAATTGGGAAGCTTTCTAAAATATCAACCATGTGAGCCTCACCCCAGTCCTACCACATTAGAATCTCCAAAGGTGGAACCAAGGCGCCTGGAATGCTGTGATTCCATATGATTTAGATGTCACTACACAAGGAATCACTAAAGGGACTCCTATAAGTAGCATTTTAAAATTTTTTAAAGAAATAATATGCTTTTAATGAGAAAATTAAAGAGCATTCAGCTCTTTGAAACATGTATCAATTGCATTAAATCAAGTGCAGCATCACCTAGTTTACCCAGAAGTCACTTAGCAAACAACTTCAACTCTATGAGCACAATGGGGAACTTAGATATAAGGGAGAAAATATCTCTGAGCAACTATAATTGATGTCTCAGTGTCTGCAAACTCAAGATCACGTGTTTTTCTTAGAGGAACCCTCATTCAGCATCCACTGACTTTTGGTTTACACCCACTTCTCACAAGAATAGCCTAGCCAATCTGGAGTCTGGCTGCCAAGATTTGATTCCTTGGCACAACCCTTATTAGCTTTGTGATCTCGGGCTACTTACTTATTCTCTCTGTAATGGACATAATAATTATACCTATTCAGTTGGTGTTGGAGGATTAATGAGATGATCCATGTAGACCGAGCTCTGAATTTAGTAAGTGCTTAATGTATGCTGCTTGACCTAGGGACAGAGATCCTTGTAATCCAGGTAGCTCCTAAGTACATCACCGTACTACAGTGCTGTATGACAACTATCTATGACTATAGTTTATAAGAAACATTTCAATGGTTCACCAAACTAGTGGTTCTTATACATTTGAGGGGTGTGCAAAGCACCTATAAAACCAAACTCACTGCTGGCGAGTCAGATCCGACTCATAGCGACCCCTCCTTGTGTTTCTGAGGCAGTATCACTATGGAAGTAGATCGCCCAACCTTCCTTCTGAAGAGTGGCTGGTGGGTTTGAACCACCAGCCTTCTGGTTAGCAGTCAAGTGCCTTAGGCAAAGTACCTATACTGTACCATAAAATCTGGATTGAGGGCACATTTTCTAGAGCTCTGTAAAGCAGGTTAAGGATTGTTATGCTAAACACTCTAACCTTGCAAGGAAGATTTTCATCAATCAAAACATAATTTAAATGTCTTTTAACTTTTAGGACTTGAAAAGATAGATTATTTGGTCATTATGTATAGAATAGTTGATTCCTCAGTAATACAGGACAAATAAAGTACACTTATCTTTGATCTGTTTTGATAGTCTTGTTCTTTCAATGACAGATACTTATTGAGCACTGACTTTGGGACAAGTGGTGTGACGAGTCTTACTCTATTGATCCAATATGAATGAGAGAACTAAATTAGTATTATTTTGGCATTCATAAGTCTAATCTTGTGACTGTTTAACACAGTAATAAATTACAAGGAAAGTATGATGGTGACATTTATTGAGTGCTTTCTATGTACCAGGCATTCAGCTAGTGCTTTATATGAATTTCCTCATTTAATCTTCACAACAATCCTATTAGGTTAGTACCATTATTATCCCCCTTTTACAGGTGAGGAAATTGAGGCATAGCACAGTTAAACAACTTGTACACAAAAGTGGTCTTTCTCCAGTCTCTGCTCTACCCACTACTCTATACTAGAAAGGACAACAACACTTGGCAAACTGATCTTATTTTTACACAACTGGGAAAGTGGGGCAAGAGTGGGGAGAAATGAGAAATGGACCACTTCTCTTAAAAAGTGAGCTCTTGAGATGTTAAGAAAGAGGAGAAATTTGGTAGGAACCCATGACTCTTTCTTCTGGAACTCACTGTTAAAAATGTTCCTCTTCCTCTCCTGTCCCAGGATTAGCAGAGTAGAGGAGTCAGCGCTGAGAGCTCTGCGAGAAATGTTATTCGCTCATTCCTCAGATCTTCTGGGTGAATTTAAGAAGCATGATGAAGATAAAACTGGTAAGACTAATCAGATGAAATATTCATAGCAGAAAATTGCTAGCCCCAAGGTCTGTCTCACAATAGTTAGTGAATAAGTATCTCTTGAATGAAAGAATTGCAGAAGACCCTTTTGACTGCCTCCTCCGGTTTTCTCAACTAGCTGAACAGGTTTCTCTGGTGATGTAGTGCCTGACTGCTAATCAGAAGGTTGGCAGTTCAAACCCACCGCCATTCCTCAGAAGCTGATACCACCTCAGAAACCCAAGGAGGGGTTGCTATGAGTCGGATCTGACTCGATGGTGGTGAGTTTGGTTTTGAACAGGTTTCAGTGGAGCTTCTAGGTTAGGGCTAGGAAGAAAGGCCTGATGACCTACTTGTGAAAATCAGCTGGTGAAAACCCCGTGTGTCACTATGGCTTGATCCCTTTGTGCATGGGTGGCCATGAGTCAGGGTGGCTCAAGGGCAGCTGACAGTAACAATAATGTCCCATCAAGTTTTTCTAAATTTTTAATTCCAAATTTTTAACAGAATATTAACTTGGACAAATATCAATGGAGATGGTGAAAATAAATGGAGCCAAGGGCAAAGTGACAAACAAGACCAGAACTATGAAAAAATGCAAAAAACAAAAAACAAATGGCAGTTAGGTGGTGGGGGATGTTGCAAGAGTACATAACATACTAGCAAAAGCTCAAATGATTTAGTTTCTTGTTGAGTGTGTACTTATCTGCTCTGTATTCTATTCAAATATCCAAACTAGAAATTTTGCTTTTGCTCAACTCAATGAATGTCTAATAATAAATATATGAAATATAGCCTGTTGACTATAGTAACATTCATAAATTCATAGCAATATCTTTTTATATACATATTTAATCTCTCTTCCAAGAAGTTTTCAGTTAATAATTTATTCTGAGAAATGTAGGAGGTTTGATTTTTTAAAAACAAAGAATGCTACTTATAGATAATGTTTTATGATATCATTTCCAAAACTCTTGTGAGATTTCCAGTAGGGTTGCTAGGTTTAACAAATAAAAATAAAGAACTTTGCTTTGTTTTCAGATAGTTCACAAATAATTTTAGTATATATGTCCCATGCAGTATTTGGGACGTACATATTCTTTGTTGTATGTCTGAAATTCAAATTTAATTAAACATTCTGTGTTTTATCTGGCAGTCCTACTTTCCAGCCAACTCTGCCATGACCAGCAAAAATAGTGATTAAAAAAAAAAAAAAAAAAAACCCAACCCACTGCCATCGAGTTGATTCTGACTCATAGCAACCCTCTTTGGGTTGCTAAGGCTGTATATCTTTACTGCAGTAGATTGCATCACTTTCCTCCCTTGGAGCAGCTGTTGTGTTTGAACCACTGACCTTCTGGTTAGCAGCCAAATATCTTACCCACTACACCACCAGAGCTCCTTAAAAGTAGTGACAGTGCTCATTATTTGTATTATATGCAGAGAGTGAGAAGGATGTCAGGATCAAAATGTATACACTGTTAGATGGGAAACTAGACTTACAGTTGACAAGTCAACAAATTAATTCTTTTTTTGTAGGTTTAATCACCCTGAGTGACTGGGCAACAGCTGTGGAGTCTGTGTTGCATCTAGGACTGCCATGGCGAATGCTGAGGCCACAGCTGGTGTGCAGCTCAACAGAGAGCATGCTGGAGTACAAGTCCTGGCTGGAGGACTTGGCCAAAGAACAACTGAGCCGTGAGGTAATGGTGTGATCATGGTGTGTGAAAACACATTGTGAACCCTGGAGGACTTTACAAGAACTTTGAATCAGAAACAACCAAGTACTGACAATCTAAAAGGGAGATGTGTGAGAAAAGGAAACAGCTATTTGTTGAGGTGTGTGTAAGACTTTATGCTAAGTGAGTTACATGTGCTGCCTCAGTTAATCCTCAAAACCACCTCAAGAAATAGTTATTATCAGCATCATTATACTTAGTAAGCACACTGCTATATGCCTGGGGTCATATAGCTTCTAAATTATAGAACCAACTCTTTCTAACTTCAAGACCAGTTTTATTTTCTTGACACTATTTTTTTAAAGTATTTATTCAATACATTTTGTGTGCAACATACATAGTGTATGCAAGGCACGGGCTAGGTATTTCTTAAACGATTAGATTTTTTGGCAGGCTGAAGAGGGAGGAAGGGGATGGGGAAATGTCTTCCAGTTTTTTCAAGAGTATATTGTTGTCAGAGTTGCTTTTGTGTTAGTTATCCTACTAGGAAAAAACTAAACATAAGATATGGAAGAAAATGAGTTTTTTCCTTTCAGAACATACAGTCAAGTTTGCTGGAAACACTCTATCGAAACCGATCCAACCTGGAGACCATTTTCAGGATTATAGATAGTGATCATTCCGGTAAGTACACTCATTATCCTATCACTTCTGACACATAACTAGTATTTTAACTTCACCTTCTTTAGTGTCTTTCCTGTTCATTTAACTCTACACTCAAGCATTTTAGGAACAAATTAAGTAGTTGCCAGGCTTATAAATAGCAGAAACTAGGAAAGTACTTGAGCTGTACAAGCAATAGTAGAAGGATGGGGTGGAGATGAATGAAGACTGACTGATGAGAGCTTGTGGGCTCCCCTTATAGGAAGAATCATTACTAGAAGACCTGGTATCCCATCTGATTTTAGCAAAGATAGTGATAAGTAATGATGAGTTCCTAGAACACAAAGGCTTCTGCAATCTTACACCCAAAATTTTATTTTGAAATATTTATAGATTCACAGGTCCTGTGTACACTTCACCCTGTTTCCCCCAATGGTCTGAAAGTTTGTTGTTGTTTTACATGTTATCACTCATTTTTAATTAATGTATATTTCACATATCATATAATTTACCAATTTAAAATGTATAGTTTAGTAGTTTTTAGTATATTCACAAATTTGTGCAGCTATCACCACTATCTAATTTTAGGACATTTTCATTACTCCAGGAAGAAACCTCACATCCATTAGAAGTCACTCACCTTCTACCCCATCAACCCCCACCACCCCAGCTCTCAGCAACCTTTCTATCTCTATAACCAAAAATAAAACCAAACTCACTGCCATCAAGTTGGATCCGACTCATAGCGACCCCTCCTTGGGTTTCTGAGGCGGTGTCTCTATAGAAGCAGATTGCCCAGTCTTCCTTCCAAGGAGTGGCTGGTGGTTTTGAACCATCAGCCTCCTGGTTAGTAGTCAAATGCTTTAGGCATTACACCATTTGCCAATTTGAAGAATTTCATATAACTAAAAGCATGTGTAATCTTTCTCTGGGTCATCTTTTGTGTCAGGCTTCCTTCACTAAGCATAAGGTTTTCAAAATTCACCCATATTGTAGCATGTATCAGAACTTTATTCCCTTTTATGGTTGAGTGATATCACTTTTGTTTATCTGTTCAGCAGCTGATGAACATTGAGTTTTCCACTTTCTTACTATGATAAGTAATGCTTCTATGAACGTTCATGTACAAGTTTTTGGGTGAACAGGTGTTTTCAGTTCTCTTGGGTATATACCCAAGAATGAAATGGATAGTATAGTAACTCTATATTTTAATTTTTGAGGAACTGCCAAACTCATTTCCATAATGGCAGCACCATCTTGCATTCCCACCAGCAATATATGAGGGTTCCAATTACTCAACATACTTACCAACTCTTGTTATTTTCTGTGTGTATGTGTGTATTTATAACATTCTAGTGAGTGTGAAGTATCTCATTTTAATTTCCCTAATGACTAGTGAGGAGCTTTGGTAGCGTAGTGCCTAAGGCACTTGACTGCTAACCAGAAGGCTGGCAGTTCAAACCCACCAACCACTCCTCATAAGGAAGATTGGGCAATCTACTTCCATCGTGATACGGCCTCAGAAACCCAAACTATGAGTCGGGTTTGACTTGAGTGCACATAACAACAACAACAACACAATGACTAATGATGTTGAGTATCTTTTCATGTGCTTATTGGCTGTTTGTATATTGACCATTTATATTTCTTCTTTGGAGAAATGTCTATTCAAATATTTTACTCATCTTTATATTGGATTATTTGTTTCTTTATTGTTGAGTTGGAAGTGCTCTTTATATATTTTGGATGCTAGACCATTATCAGATCTATTTCTTGCAAATATATTCTCTAAAACCTAGTCTGACTCACTGAAGTGACTTTCTCCCTTTGGTAAGGGTTCATCTCACTGGACGAGTTCAGGCAGACCTGGAAGCTGTTCAGTTCTCATATGAACATTGACATCACAGATGATTGCATCTGTGACCTTGCTCGGAGCATTGACTTCAACAAGGACGGCCACATTGACATCAATGAGTTCCTGGAGGCCTTCCGCCTGGTGGAGCAGTCCTGCTTAGAGGGCAGTACCTCAGATCGCCCACAGACCACCAACATTGATGACAGTGGCTGCAATAGGCCAGGTGCACACTAAGAGCAGCCTGGTCCTAAAACAAAACAAAAGAACAACTTGGTCCTCATTGTGCAAGGTGCCTCATAAGCAAGGTAGAGCTTACTGCTGGAATAGCCTCCTTATTCCTCATGGATTTGCAGAACTTTATGCTGAGAATTTATGTATCAGAATCACTTCTGAATTTTTTTTTCTTTTTATTTTGGCATCTGTGTGTGTGTGTATCCCAGCCTCATCTCAGAATCTTCACAGGGTAGAACCCAGGTATAAATCTTTGTAATCCTGAAGCCCACCACAGTTAAGAACCACTGTAATTCAATCCTCTCATGTTTTCAATTTATACCTTTTATTTATTATTTTAAATACATGATATTGGTAAATGAGAGTTATGAAAAATTATGTAATCTCATGACCCACACGTATGGATTGTTTCTATTATTTACTTTTTGTTACTTATTATAACTAGAGTTATTTATAACATTTTATGTTCTGCTTTTTTATAAATTCACACTCAATTGTAAACACTTTCCCCTGTGGCTGCATAATATTCATAATTGTCAGTTTAATGGTTGCATACTTTTCTTTCAAGTAGATGCACTATAATTTGTTCAGTCATTCTCCAATTGTTAAATATGTATGTTTCCAGCTTTCATTATTATAATAACCTGTGATTTATAAGTTTGTGTATGTGATTTGTTTAAAAACACTTTTCAATTACACATCTCAGTTATTAATTCCAGGAATGGGATTCCTTTATCAAAGGATGTCAATATTTTTATGGCTTGACACCTATTACCAGATTTCTTCTCATAACTGAGAGTATTGGTTTTACCATGAACTCATCAGCATTAAGTGTGATAGTTTCTAATTTTTGCTAGAGGTAAACAATGGTGCTTCCGTCATATTTTAACTGTTTCCCTTACCTCATTTTGTTTGTGAACTAACTGAAGTCCTGAGAACTAACTGAGTCTGTGATCTAGTTGGTGACAGAGCTGGGACTGGAAACCATGTTCCCTGGCTCCATCCAGTGTTCTTTCCAGTTTTATCTGTTTGGACTGGCTATAAATAATCTGTGGTCCTTCTGTCTTCTTCCTTTGTGTGGTAAACAGAGTCTTAGTTGGTCCCAATGATTTCCTGTCTCTTGGCCTTACATAACCACCCCCCCCCCCGCCCCAATACTTTCAGGCGGGACCTGTGACTTGCTTCTAACCAGCACAATATGGCGAAGGTGATGGGTATCACACATAAGTGATTAGATTTCATGACATGACAAGGATGATGGGTGCCACTCTTGCATCATATGTGAGACTCTGTGCTAGTGACTGGAGTGAAAGGTTCTCCTTACTGGCTTGATAAGCAAGCAGCCAGACTGAGGAAGGCAATATGGCAAGGAATTGTGGGTGACCTATGGGACCTGCAATTGGCCTCTGACCAGTGACCACAAAACCTGGGGCCCTCTGTCATACAAGGAAATAATAAATTCTGCAAACAACTTGAATGAGCTAGGAAACAAATTCTTCCCTAGTGGAACCTCTAGATGAGAATGAAGCCTGGCCAACAGCTTGCAGCCTGTGAGTTCCTGAGCAGAGAGCCCAGCTAAGCCATCCCGGACTCCACAGAAGCTGTGAGATCATCAATGTGTATTGTTTTCAGCCACTGAATTTATAGTAAAAGGAGCCTTGGTGGTGCAATGGTTAAGCATTTGGCTGCTAACCAAAAGGTTGACAGTTTGTTCCTACCCTAGCGACTCCATGGGAGAACTGATCTGGTTATCTGTTCCAATAAAGATTGCAGCCTAGAGGGATAATTATGCTCTGTTACATGGGTTGCTGTGAGTCAGAATCAACTCAACAGCATGTAGTGAGAAGTTTGTGGTAATTTGTTATGCAGTATAGAAAACAACTACACCTTGGTCCCTTGAAAAAAGTCTTTTTATTTTCCTATTTCACCACCCAGAAAAGTCTGGACTTTCATCAATGGATACAGTTGAGAGAAGAGTCAAGGTCATTTTTGTTTGAGAAAGTGTTTGAATGAATGCATATGATCCATGGCTTTATCTTGCTTGACTTAGCAACTGAGAGACTAAGAATAGGTAGTGAATTAATGTTTACATCTGTTTGACACGTCTTTTTCTTTTTTTTTTTTTTAAAATCTGTTTGACATTTCTTAAGGAGCTCTGATGGCATAGTACCTAAGGCATTTGACTACTAACCAGCTGGTTGGCAGTTCAGACCCACCAGCCACTCTGCAGAAGGAAGACTAGGCAATCTACTTCCATAAAGATTTACAGTCTTGGAAACCAAAGGGGGTCACTCTGAGTCAGAATTGACTTGGTGGCAGTGAGTTTGTTTGTTTTTTTTTTTTGACATGTCTTGTGCAAGTAGCTCCAATTCAACAAATAAAGTGCAAGTTGTTTCTGCAACATACTCCCCATTCATTATGATTACAGGTAAACAAACATTCTGAGGCATAGTAAGTGTTAAGCTGCAAAGAATAACTCAGGGACAAATGGGTTAAAGCCCTGGAGAGTTACTCATTCATAGGCATATAGGAGAGAGAACAACCCATGAGAGACCAGCTCTCTACAACCAAAGGCAAGAGTGGCGCTTGTAAAAGCAAAAGTCATAAAGCTTCACAAGGCAAAGTGATTGGTTTAAATAAGTCCTTGGCTTGTCAGCTCATGATTGGTTGGTTGTAATGGAGTTTAGTGGGGAGACTGCTGAACCAAGTTCCTTGCTTGAATCTAGATTGCACAGTCACAAATGTACATTAGGATTTTTTTTCTGCCATTCTAACCAGTTTGCTGGGAAGCAGTTGCTCTTGTTCTTTTTTTAGGGGCCTTGCTGCTTGCTGTCTTACACCTTTCAGGCTCAGGGCCCTGCAAGTTTTATGCATATATTCAAGACTCAGAGAAAATTTCCTTTATGCATTAGCAATTTTTTACCAAGTTAATAGAGGGTTAGCTTCAAGGGAGTCTTAATTTTAAAAGAAATCTAAAATATTATACTGGGAAGAATTAGCTAAATCATTTCACTAATTCAGTAATTTAATCTCAACAGCAAATTAAAATCATCTAGGAAGTTTTTTAAAAATTATAATGCTTGCAGGCCCCACTCCAGACCAAATTAACAAAAATCTCTGGGTGAGAGGCTGTGTTATTGGTATTTAAAAAATGTTTCCCCAGGTGATTTTAATGTGAAGCCAGACTAGAGTATCACTGATCTAATTGGTTTACCCTTCTACAGTAAATGATTATTATTTGGTAAGACTTTATGGATTATAGTTCTTACACTTATTTACTGTTCTGAGAGGTTAATTCAGAAACAAAACATTTTTAGCTTTAGATGTGCCTACAGCTAAATATCCTCCAATAGTATTAGCAGACACAAGAAATACTCACTCATAAAGATTCCACACACATACTTCTCCCAGAATTAGGTCCCTGGGTGGTATAAGTGGTTTGCGCTAGAACGCTATCCTAAGGTTGATGATTCTGACCCATTCAGTGGTGCTGCAGAAGAAAGCCTGGTGATCTATTTCTGTAAAGATTAAACCAAAAACCAAACCCACTGCCATCGAGTTAATTCCGACTCACAGTGACCCCCATTGGGTTTCTGAGGTGCTAAATCTTTACGGAAGTAGATTGCATAGTCTTGCTTCTGTGGAGTGGCTGGTGGGTTTGAACCACCAACCTTCTAGTTAGCAGTCAGATGCCTTAGGCACCAAGAAAACCCCATAGAGCAGTTCTACTCTGTCATACATAGGGTCACCATGAGCTGGAGTCAATTTGACTGCAATGGGTTTGATTATTTTGGCTTCTCCAAACATTACTAATTTTTTAACTGGAAACTTATCTTTTCTTTTTTTTTTTTTTTTTTTTTCAAGTTGAGACCTATAAATTGATTGTAACTTTATGTTAACAGTATTTAAAAAAAAAAAAAAAAGTGTATATGAATCCAGTCAAAGTGTTGTGGGTTTCCATATGCAAATGTGATCTCTCCCTTGGGACCTGTATATCAGATTGCTGACCCATCATCTCTACCTAAGTATTCCATGGGCATCTCCACTACAACATGTCCAAAAATGACAATCATTTCTCCCCTACTCTGCTCCCTCTCTTAATTTCTCTATCTCAGATTGGTGCTACCACTGTTTACCTTGTCACCTACATGCTATCAATTTCTGAGTATTGGAGTTTACTTTTTAAATGTCTCGCATCAACTCCCTCTTCTTCATCCCCACTCCCTCTGCCAAATGCATGTATGACCTTCTGCCACAACCCTCTACTTCTTTGAGCCCCCTGCTTCCAATTTGGCTCCCTTAGTTCTGTCCTCCCCAAGCCTCCCTAATGATCCATCTAAAGCACAAGCCTGCTCAAAATTTTCTCCCCTTGTGGTCTTTACCATCTGATTGTCAATCCATTCCACCTGTTTGCTCAAGCCAGACAAAGCAAAACCATTGAGATAGTTTTTGGACTTCTCTCTTTCTTTCATCTCCCACATTCCATCATTAGCAAATCTTTTGACTCTACCTTCAAAATATATCAAGAATTGAACCTCTTTTTACTCCTGCATCCCGAACATCCTAATTCAAATCATATTATTTCTCACCAGTCTTTACTTACTCCTCTCCCTCTACTGCAGTTGTTCTCAAACTTTTCCATCTGAGGGCCCTTTTGTTGTAGTTGGGTGCTGTTGAGTTGATTCTGATCATAGCAGCCCCATGTGACAGAGTAGAACTGCCCCATAGAGTTTTCTAGGGTGTAATCTTTATGGAAGCAGATTGCTAAGTCTTCTGTAGAGATTTTGGATGGTTTTGAACCATCAACCTTTCAGTTAGCAGCCTAGCACTTAATCATTTGTGCTACCAGTGCTCATTGGGGGCCCTTTCACACTCTAAAAAAGTATTGAAGATCCCAAATAACTTTTGCTTATGTGGGTTATATCTGTTGATATGTACTGTATCAGAAATTAAAACTGAAACATATTTAAAATACTTATAAATCATTTAAAAATAATAATATA